CGGAGGTTGGGCGGAATCATTGGGTCAGGAGTTATGCGAAGGGCATCCTGGGCTAACACGGTGAAACCCGGTCTCTACTAAAAATACAAAAATCAGGCCGGCGTGGGTGGTGGGTGCCCTGTAGTCCCAGAGTCTCAGGAGGGCTGGAGGCAGGAGGAATGGTGTGAACCTGGGAGGCGGGAGCTTGCAGGTGGAAGCGAGATGCGCCACTGTACTCTAGCCGGGCCTGGTCGGCCCTCCCAAAGTGCTGGCATTACAGGCATGAGTTACCTCACCCAGCCAGCAAGAGTTTTCATGTAAGATCATACACATCCACCCACAAAGTGATCTTCAAGGAACATTAATTTAGCACTGCTATGAGAGATAGACTGTAGAAGAGGAGGATGATAAAGTGGAAATCATTAGAAAACAATTAAAACAGCCCTGAAATGATTGACTGCTCAGACTAGCTTTAAAAGCCATAAAATACAGCATACTTCATATATGTGAAATATCAAATTATTTGGGAGTAGAGAAAGTAGCAAAACATGAATTACTCTCCTAATGAAATATCCCAAAAGCTAAATATGAGACAAAAAATTATCTCCCACTAAGCTGTCATTTAGTCCTTTTTATATATAAATTCATGAAAGTCTAGCATTTTTTTGTGAAATAATTTTTAATTTATTAATGGTAATTTGTAAAACTTGCTATATGAAGAAATTTTAAAATAGAGCTTGAAATAGAGAGTAGATGATAGAGAATTTTGTTACTGGTTCCTCTGAGATGCGAAGCTTACCTATGTACAAATTCATGATCAGCATTATTATTGATCATTCCATTACAAAAGAAAGCCACTGATTAACAAGAAGATCTCTCTACGAGTAGGGGGATCTAAAAATACTGGCTTAATGTTCCTCTCCCTCCCCCTAAATCTAAGATTTATTTCTGTGTGGTTCTAGTTTCCATTCAAATAAAATAGATTAACATTTACTAATAAGCAGAATAAAACTGTCATAAAAGTGAGTTGATAAACAAGGTCCTCATCAATTATTAGTATGTTCCTTACTAGTACATTCTTCTAAATATAAACTAAGACTAAAAAAAATGTTTATCACTTCTATCCAAAAAAGCCTTAAAGAGTCAGAAAATGACCCAATTAAAAATTTAAGGACTTTATTCAAACCCATTCTGCAAATCTGGAAGCTGAGAAATCATTTAATAAAAGGGTACCGAGCTTGTTCTTAGAATCCCTTAGAGGCCTATCATAACAATTTACAATGAGATGAGGGCAGGCTGAAAAATCAATAAAGGTAAAGAAATTAAGATGTGCAAATTAGCAACTTTTCATTTAGTATAAAAATTATGAATAATAAATCTCTACCTAAATTACCAACAGCTTATTATATATTATTGGCTTTTCCAAGTACTAATAAAGCTGGAGAAAATATAATCATCTGTTGAGACGAGAAAGGGTTTACCAAAAAAAGGCAACCAGGCATGTGGTTAGTCAAAAATTCTCCTACAGCTACACATCCACATAATTTCTACCCATTAACTATTTACAGAATCTCTAGTGCTTAAGCTACAACACTTACGCTAGAAGAGTAGAAAAAGTACACTACCAATAAAAAACAAACACCATGCCAATTGCCCCTTTTACAATCACTCCAAATATATAATTATCCTAGATGACCTTTCACATCATCACTTCTTTAGCCAAATATGCGTCACCATACAGAAAAAAAAGGATTTGTGAAAATCTTTTGGATACACTTCATATACGTGGAAAATAGTAAAGACATCCCCTACCAACCTCATGCCAGTCCCTTTAAACAAAAAATTTCCTTTTGTTCTCAACAAACACTCTTATTCCCTACACGTAAACAAACTGATTTCTCTTGATCTTTTTCCAAAAACAAGCCCTCTTTAAATCATTTAAATAAAAAACTGCCCCCAAAAAAGAAAAAACATTCTGAAATATAAGATGCAAATCACTTCAACATCAAAAAACAACATTATATCTACAAATTTTAAATGAGTACCATCCCACATAAACTTTTCTTATACACGAATACTAAATTACATGATTTGCTGTCATAATAAAACTAAAATACAACCTTTCCCAAAAACCACACTGAACAAGATTTTGCCTTTACCAAAATGGCCATATGCTCTCACACACTGGCTCGCTCTCCATGCAACGGCTTTGCGTGGCCTGGCTCAGTGCCAGCTTGACAAACTCCAGCTGGTACCATCAATGCACATTCTAACCGCCCCTTTGTAGCATGTCAACTTCGAACCTGCCTTCCAGCAAGCTGCAGCAACGTTTTGTCAGCCAATCTCCCTTCCAAATGCACGTCCACTGCCATCATTCTGCCTTATTCTACCCTCATAAGACCACGTTAGTTTTTTGACCAGTACAAAGCCCAAGAGTGAGAGTCTTATGAATACGCCCGTCCTTCGCAACACAAATGGACATTCTCAACTGTTTTTAGACTCAATTAATTCGTTTTGCTCCAAGAATAAATAACTGGCTCTTAGCACTTAGATTTTATGTGTCACCAGGCAATTTTAGTGTTGTATACAACAGCCAAATAAACCCATTTTGGGCTCTGTCCTCCTGAATGCTCTTTCTACCACAGTATTTACAACCACCCAACTATGAGTGTCAATTAACTCCAAACACGACAGAAACAGCCTCTAAAGAGCGTCAATGTTCCAAGAGGCAAAACAATTCGTAATATGCGAGCTTTAATCACTCCAGGTAGGAACTAAATAAATGTATAAAAAAAAGCCATCCAACCTAAAGAATCCATCGTCAAATCTAATCTGGACTCAAAAAACTTTGAAAAGACGCCGTTACAAGAAAAAAAACAAACCTTAATTACCCGTAAATCTTTGATCACCACAAAATGTCCTGGGACTGAGAAGAGTATAAAATATATGGAGCATATTTAGATTAATAAACTCGTTGTTTCGGCGAAATCAAATCCTAAATCCTCAGGCCATCAACAGGAACAAGTTTTTACATATTCATCTAAGCTAAAAACCGCCCTCACAATTCAACATTAATAACGTCCTGGCCTACCTCAAACCAAGCATACATTCGCTTCTTCAGAACACAACCACAAACCAAACACTGCTCCAGACATACACTAAAGTTAAGTTCAAAAGGCACATGACCGATTCACATTGAAGGGGGTGGTGTCATCCGTGTCGGCGCATGAGCAAGGAGAGAGTCGTG